GACTCCAACCCTAAGGAGATTCTTTTAAATACCCGTATGCAAGCTCTCATTGCGGCTGCTGAGTTTTGAAGATATATAGAGCAATAATTGAGCTTCGTGTATTCTGTTTTTTTTGAGTTGTACACAGTTCAGTCTGAGAGTTCGAACTAGCTCAAGGACTGAAGCTGTTTTATTTTGTTCTTTGTGTTTCATCCAAAAACTATTTTACAGCTTATACACTTAGGGAGTAAGTGTAGGTTTTAAAAGTCCACGGGACGTGGCCGGAGAATTAGTTGGTAGGATCTGAGTAGTGTTGGCTAGGCTTGAAGGGAGTTCGAGTCGTTGTAAGTCCAAGCTATGTGTATGGTTGATCTATCAATGAAAGAGCTCTGAGGGGAAGTGGGACGCTTCCCTGAAGAGTTTTAAAATCTTCGGTTTATTGCTTCCGCTTTTTACATTGTTTACTCACGTTCGTACTACACTTAGCGCACTCGCAAGTAATTATACGTTTCAATATATATATTAAATTAAATAGTATAACGGATTGACCCGCTTGACAATTACAATCGTCTCAATATTCATTAATTTGTATTTAGAGATTGAAGATATTTTTCAATATTTTTGTTTGTTTTGAAATTTATTTCTTTATTTTTTTATTAAATTTACATTTAATTTCCTCTTCGATATATAATTAGGCTATTTTATTTATCCTTATCTTCTCCACCGTCACACTTCCCAACCTCTTTGATGAGCTTTGTTCGAGAATCAGCTTTGTCCATTCCCATAATGGCATCTCCCTTTACTCATAGCTAAAAATTCATTTACTTGTTTCATAACTCAATATATCTATATGCTCTTTCGTGGAAGTTTTGTTTAATGTCTATTTTCTTCGGGTTGCTAACTCAACGAGTGGCTTTTAAGTGCTTAGCTAGGTCTCGTTACGGTATCATCCCATCGGGTGTTTTAGCTGTTGAATAATATATGTTATCTAACTACATGTATATTCAATGGCTATAACACTCGACGGAATGGTATCTGCTCCTAACGGGGCCGTAGCATTTCTCTAAAACAATGATTAATTAAGTAGAAATTTTAGATCTTTTGCCAGAGAAATGTAATAACAATAGAAAAGATACATAATCTTAAATCTTTTAGACAAATGTTGCATTTAGGTCCTCTATCTTGTATGATCTCATCTATTGGTATTTCATTTTCTCATGTGAAAATCTTATATATTAATCATGATGTTACATATGAACAAATAGAATAGAGCATAATCAATATATGAAATGACAAAGATAAATGATAAATATTAAATTTTCGTATTTAAAACAAGAAAAATATGTATTAATTTGTATATGCGTGCACAAAAATTGAATTTCTCTAATATCCAATGTCACAAAATAAAACCGTTAATGGGTCCCGCACTTGCCGTTAGCAGTTGCTCTTCCATTGTTTATTAATCTTCCCTTACATTTGGTCTAACTAAATCTTTCAACTGTTTTTCTTATTTTTCCAAAAAAAAAAAAAAAAAAAAAAAAATTATATATATATATATAAAACCAGTTAACAATTTGATATTATCAACCCTAATCCTCAATCCCGCCAAGATTTTATTCATGAACACCTCTTCTGGGTTTTGATTTTTGGGAGGGATCAATTTTTTTTTTTTTCTTTTTTCTTTTTTGATCAGAGGATATATAAATAGTGGGAGATGTCGAATCTATACGGTGGGGATTTCAATCAGAAGATCGATTACATGTTTAAGGTCGTTTTAATAGGAGACTCGGCTGTCGGAAAATCCCAGCTGCTCGCCCGGTTTGCGCGTAACAAATTCAGCTCGGAATCTAAGGCCACGATTGGGGTCGAATTTCAAACCAAAACTCTCGTTATCGATCACAATACAGTCAAGGCACAAATTTGGGATACTGCAGGACAAGAAAGGTTAAAACTAATCTTCCTCTTGCCCTTTTCTTGTTTTGTATTTTGTCCAATTTTTATTAGTTGTAATAGGTACATCTTTGAGTTGTTATGTTGTGTTTATGGTCATGCTATGCACATTGTACACTTAGAAGCTATACAAAGTTCTTGAAATTACGACTATAGTAGCCAAATAAGTTGATTAACATTTTTGTTTGCTTTTCAAGAATAATTGTCTTGTTTTCAATCACTAATCCAACCGGTTTTAGTAGGATTAGTTGGTTAAAGTGGGTTATATTTGATAAAGTTAATTAATTGGATAATTTTGAGTTTGTAATTAAATATGTGATGCAAAAGTACGTATATATATGATAGATATTGTTGGAAGTGATTAACAATTAAAATTATGTGAATTGATGATAATGTATTAAACTTTTTATGAGGTGAGGATGATTGGTTAATATTGTTTAATTATACTGATAATATTGATGAAAATTGAGTTATATTTGATTACGAGTTTGGAAGATTGCTAACAAAATAACATAATCAATCAAATTCGATTATGCATCATATCCCTGAGGCGCAATTTTTTTCAAATTTGATTATGGATCTTGCTTCATGGTAGAATTGATGTTTTTTTTTTTCGGTTAACGAATAGGTACCGAGCAGTTACAAGCGCATACTACCGAGGCGCGGTTGGAGCTATGTTAGTCTACGACATGACCAAACGACAATCCTTCGACCACATGGCACGGTGGCTCGAGGAACTCCGGGCCCATGCAGACAAGAACACGGCTATCATGCTTGTCGGGAACAAATGCGACTTGGGGACACTAAGGGCCGTCCCGACCGAGGATGCACAAGAGTTTGCCGAACGTGAGAATCTCTACTTTATGGAGACGTCTGCACTTCAGGCGACGAATGTGGAGAGCGCGTTTTTCACCATTTTGATCGAGATATATAGGATCGTGAGCAAGAAGAAGACTCTAGCCACAATTGAGGGCTCGGATTATGCCAAGTCGGGATCTTTGAAAGGTACGAGGATCATCGTCCCGAGTCACGGTTTGGATAGTTCCAAGTCTGGTTGTTGTATGGGTTCATGAGTTTTTACTTATTATTTTTTTAATTATTACAAGATGTTGTAATTACCTTTCAGAATGGTTTGTACCACCAATTTGATGTTTGCTTCAGTTTTACAATTTCAATTAGATGTGTGGGTTTTAGTGGTTTTGTATCAAATTATGTGGTTCTTGATTTTGAACAGAATTTAGCAAAGAGCATGAAAGAAACATTATGACTTTAAATAGTATTGTGTGTTGCTTTCTATAACAAAACTTCGTAAGAAACTATGAAGTCAACTCTTGACTTCATTGCAAAGTCGATTTTGAGGTATCTATGAAGATAGAATTAAGTCTGAACGAGCAAAATTTAACGGATAAGACTTTGGAGACACACTTCCTTTATTTGGAATAATAAACAAAAATAATAAGGTATAGTGCTAAATAATTGACAAAATTAGTCCTCCAATGTATGGAAAAATACTTTGTAAAAAATAAAATAAAATCGAATTATTACTTTATATGGTATTGAGATTCTTATGATTTCAAATGATAAAAATGTAGAAATATTGATGGCACATGCTATTAATCTTTAAACCATATCACACCTTAACTCATTCTTAATCAATCAAGTCAATTTTTAGCAAACAATTTGATTTCATTTGGTATAGTAAACATCAAATTTATAAGAAAAAAGTCATATGTACACACATTTGTTGTTGACTACATTTAAAACTAAGAGCTTCTCTAGCCCTGCGTTGGATCTTCAAAATAAAGCAAGATTTAGCTCCAGCCCTGCGCCACATACTAGCGCTACTTCAGTGTGGTGAACAATATTGCGCCAATTGTGGCACAACACTGTTCATTGCACTAGATTTTTTTTTTTTTTTTTATGTAATATTAATGATATATTTTTGTATAATATGTATAAATAAATGTATTTTTTACTAATAAGTTTGTGTAATGTATTTTTTTATGTTAAATAATTTTGTGTTTTTTATTTATTGATGTATTAAAATTTTATTTTATAATTTTTTAATGTTAAAATGATATCATATGAATAAAAATTTAACACATTCAAACAAGTTTATTTCATTAAAATTAAAGTTTACAACACACATAAATCATAAATAACATAAATAACATTTTATATAAAATGATTTGAAATAAAAATAAATAAAATATATTTTTATTATTTGAGTAATTAACATTTTATATAAGATTAAATATGCATATATACCAATTTATTTGAAATAAAAAATGAATAAAAATAATATATTTAATGTAGAGTAAAATGTAGAGATAAGGGTTGGAGATAAATGTCCAACTCTACTCTAGAGTAGAGTAAAATCCGCGCTAGAGTAGAGATAAGGGCTGGAGATGGTCTAACAAAAGTTACTCGTGGGCCCAACTTTGCGGTAAGATCCACTAAAGCTCGAAAATACAGTTTTTATGTTTGTATGTAAATTTCTATAACTCCTCGTGTTAAGGCTTCATCTCAACTCATTAGTACTAATCAGGCACGTAAATGAGCCGAGTCGAGCCGAATTTGACTCCTTAAATCAAGTCCGACTCGACTCGTTAAGTAAACGAGCCATAAAACAAACTCGAGTTCGACTCGTTTATCAATATTAATTAGCTAACTTTGAACCTTAACAAATTGATCTCGTTAAACGAACTTTAAGCGAGCTCGACCTCATTTAATAACCGACCGAGTTGAACACGAACCTTAACGAACGACTCGTTTCATTTAACAACTCTAGCTAGTACTGATAAATGAGTCCAGTTAAAACTCGCTCATCAACTCCTATAGTTAACGAACCGAGCTGTCTTGTCTCAATCAATGCTTGAAAATGTAAAATATTATATAATTTTTTATAAAAAGCATGAGTATGAGTTCAAAATCGTTCATCGACGCATTAGATACTAAGACTCACTTTACAAGTTCGAGCTCGGCCCGTTCACATCGCTAACTAGAGTATAGAAAAAGGGGGAATAAAAATGAAGAAAAAGGGAAATTGTGAATGGGGTAATATGGTAATTAACCATTTGAAACGTCTCCATTGAGCCCGCTTTGGAACGAATTTGAAATTTGATAGCCAAATTTGAAATTTGTTACCACATTCAGTTTTTATTTTCCGAAAGCCTTTTTTGGGTTTTTATTTTCCACTTTCAACTTATAAAATGCCGCCCAAATTTCATTTCAAAATTTTGCCGATTCACCTCTCTCTCTCTCTCTTCCCCCACGGCCATTTTTGCTGCTCTCTCTCTCTATTTCTTTTGCTCCACACTTCTGAATTTTCACGCACACACACAGAGCAGACAAAGCCAACTCCATTGTTAAGAGCTTCGAGGGTCGCCATTGCTGCTGTTCATTTCCACGATTGAAGAAGTTCCCTCACAATCACCCCCAAAAGAATTTCTCCCAAGGTCGGATGATTTTTTTCATTTTCGGTATTCTTGAAGTTTTTTTTCTTTTTTGATTCATTATCACAGTTTTCAGGGTTTGTTTCCCTTTCTTGTATCTCTTTCACTCTCGCAAGTTCGAGCGAAGGTTTTTCTTCCTTTTTTTTTTTTTTCNTTTCAGTTATGATTAGGTTTTTATTGAGGTGAAATGGGGCTAATTGGCTTCAGTACTGAGCGTATAAAATTGATCTGAGATATCAGTTGATTGATGTAGTTTTCAGATCGAACGGAACTCTAACGCGGATAATGTATTTTGTGAAGATTTGTGACAGAATGCCGGAAGCAAGAGACAGATTGTCGAGGCAAGAGGACGTTGTAGCCACTTACAGCAGTCGAAGGAGGAATTTTGGCAGGAGGAATATTGCGGGGGTTAATTCGGTAGCATTTGTTCTTGAAGATGATGGGGATGAAGGGCAAGCTACTGAAACTCCCTTCCGGTGGAGGGGTACAGCAATGGTGGGTACACCTGGAGTGGCTTCAAGGAGGGGTAGTATTGGAACTCCAAGAATCAGGCGTGTGCCGTACTTGGGTCGACCATCTCCGCTGACCACCGGGCGTGAAAACGTGTCTCCTTTAGTGGGGACTGGCCGAGGGCGTGGTGGTGGCCGGGGCCGTGGAAGTACTGTTCTGCCTTCTTGGTATCCAAGAAGACCCCTTCGCGAGATTACTGCTGTAGTGAGGGTAATATCAGCTTCTTTTGTTTGTTGTTTTTTAATATCTATTTATTGTGTTTTCAGTTTTGTTGGGGACATTAGTACATTGTTTGTCATTGAAGTTGTATGGGACTGTTTCTTGTGGGAATAATTGTTAATATGCTTCTTTGGGTTTAAAGTAGAAATGGGAAAGTGTCTTGGGTTCATTGATGAGATTTGCTAGGGTTTGCATTGCTGGGCTAGTGGATTTCATAGTTGTTGGTTTTGTTGTAGTTATTGTTTTTCTTGGTTTGTCAGTGTTGTTTGTTGTACAATCATGGATATTAGTTCTTTATGATCGATGGCATAATTATTATGTTTTTCAATCTGTTTATTGGTCTTGATTTGTGGTAAGTGACAGTGTAGAATATATTTTTGTGTCTTTTGTGATGATCATTATGTTATGTAGTTAAACTAGTTATACAAGACTGGAATCTCTATGGTAGCTTCTAATTTATCATGAGATTAGATATATTTCAGGTAGAACTCCTGTAGGCCTAAATTCAGTCAGAATGTTATAATGATGAGATACCCTTAAGATTTTCAACTTTCAGTTAGAATATTAGCATTGAGGAGTGGCTTCTGTAGAAACACGGAGTCTATAGTTTCATTTAAATGTTATCTCAAGTTCACTTGAACTATGAGGCTGTTTGTCTGCTATATTTGCTTGTCATAGATTAATGATCAGGCGGCAGACATAATAACACCACTGCTATGTAAGTTTGGCATATAGATGTTTACTAATGGAGTATATTTCACCTTTATCCTGGATGTTGGTTATTTTTTCTTCACACGAACACTGATATCAAAGTTTGTTAAAAATCTTGTGTAAAGAATCTTTTTTTTTTTTCTTTTACATGCCAAGTCTGTTGCTGAATTTATACTTTCTATCACCTTACACTCTTAACTAACTAAAAGGGTTTGTCTATCTAGGCAATTGAAAGAAGAAGAGCGCATAGGGAAGAAGGTGAAGGCCTACGACAAACTGAGAGTCCTATACTCCGGGACCGTACTCACGATCCTTCAGCATCCACCTCAGCTGTTCAACTCGAACACGACCTTTCCATGATCTCTCCAAATCCGACTATTGGACTTAAACGCCCTCCCTCGACCATTGGTAAAGTTCCAAAGATATTGCTCAATATCACCAATAACCAGAGTGATGGAGATTCCTCCATGACGCCTCAGAAGAAACTTCTAGAAAATATTGACACGGTCGAGAAAGTTGTGATGGAGGAGCTTCGTAAGCTGAAGAGGACCCCATCTGCTAAGAAAGCTGAGAGAGAAAAACGGGTGAGGACATTGATGTCCATGCGCTAAAACAATTTCGCCGTTTATTTCTCATGTTCGTTGTTATTGTCCTCAATCAAGGTTGAGGAGGGGTTTTTAGACGGGATGTCGAAGGGTGTTGAGTATCTGGCCTGTTGAGTATAGTTGATCATCTCTTGATGATCGGATTCCTGCTTTGTTGTAGATCATCTCTTGATGATCAAGCTATCAAATATCAGTATTGTTTTAGTTTCTATTGTGATTTGTGAATAGCCTTATAAATCGGCAGAGGTAACTGTTAGCAAGGATTAGTAGTCAGGAGCAAATATGAAGAATATGTGAGCATTTACTGACATTACTTTTGTCCTGCCATTTGTTACTGGTGAAGTTCCCTTTTTTTTTCCTGATCTGCAATAGAAAAGGACAGAGCTTATTTTCTGCTTGAATAATTTCATGGTATATTGTGCTTATTAAGTCTTCTGATTAATGTGTTGAGTGATATTTACTTGGCTTCTGATCCTATTGGAAAAAAAGAATATGATACATTGATTGTATGGAGTGCATCTGAAGTCTGATGTTAGCTCATCTATGGTAAATTTTGTTTAATCTCTGTCAAAAAATACATTGTTTTTTAGATTGTTAGCTCAACACACACTGTCACACATTTAATTTGATGGTCACTGAATATATGCATAGTTGCTGAAGGTACCAAAGAGAATAGATAGAGACTAAGCAAATGATAGTAGACATGGCCGGCCTGGCCTGCAACCGGCCCATACGTTGCCGATTCCAAGAACCGGCACCGTGGCTTTACGGGCCATTACCGGGTCCCTTTTTTTTTTTGTCCTGGCGGTCCGGGACCGGGGCGATTCGCGGGGCCTGGCCCTTAGTTTTTGGTGGGCCGATTAAGGGTCACCCATGGGAGGCCTGCCGGCCCGGTGGGCCAGGCCGTGACCCAGCCTGTTGACTGGCCATGTCTAAATGATAGAATTTAAACTTTGTTGTTTGTTTTAAGTTGACCATTTACTCCGTTTGTCAGCCAATAAATTAAAAGGAAAAAAGATGGGGAAACTTTCAAAAGCAGCAGGTGAAAACAATTGAATAAGAGGCTGATAAACACAAAGGCACACATGTTTAAGATAAAACAGATACATATAGAATATGTAATGCTGTACAAGAGAGAACCTCAAATTGTGAAAGGCAGATCAACAGTAAAAGCAAATAAAATCCCTTTTTGCCAAAGGTTTTAACTTTTAACAGTCATCAAGCATGAAAAGTGATTAGCATCTGGAATACCCTACATAGAAAAAGTGTATGAAATTTATTCAAGCAATCCACCCACCATCTGCAATGGGGCTAAAAAGAAAAAAAAAAAAAAGGAGTGAACAAACA